TTCTGGGATGGAGAGTGCCAGCAAGGCACTGCTCAGCCCTTGTGACAGCCCTGATGACAATCATAGAGCTGTTTGAGTTGGAAGGGACCCTGAAAAGCCATCTGCTCATGGCAGGGACACCCACAGCTCCACCAGGTGCTCAGAGCCCCATCCCTGACCTTGGGTGTGTGCAGGGCTGGGGCACAACTGCCTCTCTGGGCACCCTGCAGCAGTTCAAACTCATTGGTTTTGAGGCAGTGAGCGCGTGAGAACCAACACTTCCATTGCTAAGAGCAGGCACAGCTCTCTGCTTCACTACAGGAACACACGGGCAGACATTAAGCAAGAAGACACCGCAGGTGGGCAGTGTTCTTGATGAGGTCACTTCCCTGTGGGCATTCACACTGACAGGCAGCTCTGCTTGTCCTGCGCTGCCGAGCTCCAGGGCCAAACCATCTGTAAGGCTGAAGGCTCAGGACAGCAGCACAAAACCACAGAATGTGGATTACTGTGTGCAGTTCTGGGCTCCCCAGTACAAAACAGACAGGGATCTCTTGGAAAGAGTCCAGCAGAGGGCCACAAAGATGGTGAGGGGTCTGGAGCATCTCTCCTATGAAGAAAGGCTGAGTGAACTGGGTCTGTTCAGTCTTTGGAAAAGAAGACTGAGAGGGGACCTGATCCAGGTCTATAAATATCTGAGGTGTGGGGGGCAGAATGGCGAGGCCGGACTCTTTTCAGTGGTGAGTGGAGACAGGACAAGGGGAAACGGCCAGAAACTGCAGCATAGGAAGTTCTGCACCAATGTGCGCAAGAACTTCTTTACAGTGAGGTGACGGAGCACTGGAACAGGCTGCCCAGGGAGGTGGTGGAGTCTCCTGCTCTGGAGATGTTCAAGACCTGCCTGGATGCCGACCTGTGCGACCTGCTGTAGGGAACCTGCTTTGGCAGGGGGTTGGACTCGATGAGCTCTGGAGGTCCCTTCCAACCCCTACAATTCTGTGATGCTGTGATCCCAGCATGGCTGGGCTGGAAGGGGCCACAAAGCCCCACGTGTGGGCAGGGTGACTCCTCCAGCTGCAGCTGCCCACGGCCGCGGACGGGACACCCGCAGCTCTGGGCACTGCTGGGGCCTCGCTGCCTCTGGGTGAAGAACATCCGCCACGTCCTTCCAACCCAGGCACGGTGCAGGGGCAGCAGCGCCCTCGTCCCCCCCGGCGCTCACACACACACACACGAGCCACCGCGCCGCGAAGCGGCGACCTTCCGCCCCTCTCCACCAACGTAGGCGGCAAAACACCGCACGGCCGCGCCCGGGGAACCTCGGCCTCCCAGCGGGACCGCGGCCCCACGGCTCAGCGCACCTCGCTGACGGTCGCGGCCATCTCCCGGCACGGCCCCGGCTCGTAGCGCCGCTCCCGCAGGCAGCCCTCCAGCACGGCCTTCAGGATGGCGTCCACCGCCGCCACCGGGAATCGTTCGGGGGGACCTGGAGGGAGGGAACCGTGAGCCGCGACACCTCCCGCGCCTTCCCCGCCCCGCGGGCCCCTACCCGCAGCGGGATGTGTGCCGGCCCCGCCGCGCTGCTCGGCCCGGGAGGCGCTGGGCCGACGGGAGGAGAGCGGCGAGCAGCCCGCGATGCGCCGCATCCCGGCAGCGGCGGAGGGGAGGCGGAGGGGAAACGGAGGGCAGCGCCGCCCAGACACAGCCGGCAGCCGCAGCCCGCCCCTCTGCCACCCCCCGCGGCTCCCCGTCCGTCGCTGCGGCCACGCCGCTCGGTCTTCGTGTTCCGCACGGGGCCGTGGTGGATCCACGTTGCCTACAAGGGTCTTCCCAGACCTTGCGTGCATTTGAAGCCGTGGCCCTTGTGTGTACCCACAGCCCCCGCTGGCCCCGAGATGCCCCCAATGCCCCCATGTATCCCCACAAGCACTGCATGCCCCCATTGCCCCCATGTATCCCCACAAGCACTGCATG